GACACTCTTAGCCAAGCGCCTCGGGGGTAGGGGTGATATGAACCTGCAAGGTTGCCGTTTCTCTATGGCTGTCAATGTCCATAGATACTCCCACCGTATGGGTTATAGGGCCCATGGCGCTTGGCTTTCCATCCACTAGGTAGACTAGTCTCGCTTTCTTCACTTTCTTGGTATGGAGGCTGTATTTGTCGCAGATTTCCTTGTCGATAAAATCTTCAGTCACTCCCGAGTCGCGCATTGCATATATCGTTGTTTCTTCATATTTTTCATTGTCTATCTTTGTTTTGATCATCACATGATCTCCGTCATCTTCTCCTCTTTGCGTGTGTAGTACTGTATAGTAGTTTGCTAATTTGATGAGTTTTCCTGGTCCACATCTTGGGTCTCCCAAACTACTATGTACTGAGGACCCTTGTCATTTTCCACCGGTGAATCTTCAGCGATCATTTCGTGAATGTTGCTCCTCTTGTGAGTTTGGAAGTGATTGTTTCCAGCAACCCTGGTCCCTTGGTATCCCCTGTCTGGTCGGCTTCTGCATTCTCATATCCAATGTCCTGCTTTTCTGCACCTCAAGCAGAGTTTTCCATTCATTCTTCTAGCGTATTCTTCCTTCGACAGGTTTAGAGCAGGTCCTGCCCTTGATTTGTCCAACTCCATTGGTTCTCCTGATGGTAATGCTCTGCCTTCACCTAGAGTTGTCTGTGGTTTGAAGGTTCATCCACATTTCTGGATAATTGGGCTACCCTGTATACTTTAGTATGTTCCAAGTTGTTTCGAACCATGTTTAGTTTGCTTTCCTTATAGATCATCCATCTTGCAAATCGTTCTGCTATTGTGTAGCGCGAGTCTGAGATTCCTATACTTCTCGGAGTCTCTCACTGCAGTTTCTTAAGAGGATGATGTAGAGAGTAGCATCATCAAACTCTATCTCGTATTCCAATAGTCAGCATTTGTTCCAGTAAGCCGAGAAGATCTGTTTTCCTTGTTCAAGTTTCTCCAGCTTTCGTCTTACTGTCTCCTTAGCGTTGGGATTCCCGAATAGATCGAAGAGTGTCGCTTGGAATTCCTTGTATGTGACCCATTCCCTCTGCATTCTTCCATCTTGGAAGAGCACAATCCATTGTCCCGCGAGTTCCTTTAGTAGAGATTCCACATAGGGAATCTTGATCTTATTGTGGTGTTCTCCCTATCCCTTGATGGCAAAATACCCTTCGTATTGTGCCAGGAATATTCGTAGCTTATCTTTGGCTCCTTTGTACGTGTCACTTTTTTTCGCTTTTGGTCGTTGGATTTTCCCTTGTCCTGTATTTCGTATTGCTGCCAGAAATACCTGAAACTGATTCTCAGTCATTCCAAGTATGCTAGTGCCTGGTGCTGTAGCGGTCGGGGCCAATGGCACAGGTACTGCTGATTGTAACATTCTCTCAGGTTGTGGGGTTCCTGCAGGAGAGCTATCGACTGATAATCTCTTCTCTGGGGTTACTGGGCTTGCTGCCCTTGAGGGTTCTGCTGAAACATAATCTAGGGCGTTGCTAAATCCTCTTAAGTTAAGGTTTTGATTGTCAATGTCAATATCTCCTTTCCTATCTGGATTGAAGGATGCCGTCATGTATCATTTGGCATCGCACTAGGTGACGCTTTGTAATGTAAGGATACCTCCTTGGATTGTTAGTTCTTGGTGATGGGGAACGATACTACTCTTCATCTTCTGTTTCTTTCCTAAGTCTTATAATCGCACTAGGCCTCTGCCTACGTTACCGATAGTACAAGACCTTTGTCTTCTATCAGGAATGCCTATCGTAAGCTTTTTCTAACTTTTCTTAGTGAAGAACTTTTCTTGGCGTAACAATAACATTGCAATAAAGATAAAGATCGTAAAGGTATTTTATATTTGTTAAAGTAATAAGTAGGAAAAGTACTTAGAACAAAGTGTGAAGAACCTATCCTTCATGGCCGCATCAACCTCCTTATATAGTGTTCTTCCTGCCCATAGTCATGTGACCAAAAGTGGTCACATGTGCAAAACCAAATCATAACAAACTAATCATGTAACCAAAGTGGTCATACGTTCAAAACCCATGACCTCATAGCAAGGTTATGTGTGAAAACTCATAATCCAATCATAACACAATAAACAAATCATATGACTCGATTAAGTCATATGCATGAAACTCATGACATCATAACAAGGTCATGTGCAAAACATAAATCATACTCGCACGGAATCCTTGTCAGGCGCACATCCCATAACTCATATTCGAGTCATGTGGGAAACATAACAAATCATAACATGCTAAATCATATAACTTAAATTGGTCATATGCGCAAAACAATAACATACCTATGACTTATAAGTATGAGTCATGTGAAAACCTTTTCCGTGCTGAGCCATATTCGTGACAGAAACAATAACATACCTATGACTCATAATCATAAGTCATGTAAAGACCTTTTCTATGTTAAGCCACATTTGTGACAGACACAGCCATCTCTGCTGATCCAGTTATATAAAGTTACCAGTTCGCAATTCGTAGTACTACCAAGCTATGATTAATGATTAGTATCAAGTGTTACAATCTACTGATTTCTTCTGACACCAATTTGAAATCCAGTTTCATCGAAGTTATATTGATTGCCTTCATAGATTCTGTTCTCTGCACATACCTATTTGTATTACTTGAACTAATTTGCAATAATATTAAGATCATGTACATTTTTATGGTCTTCCTCTATTGTCTTTTATTCATGAATATGAAACTCTAGATGTCTTTCCAGAAAGTACTTACTCCAGGCTTCACTGATTGTTGGCAGGGGGTTTGTGTTCATGATACTAGGCTGATTTCTTCTAAGAATATTGTTTGTATATCCAGTAATTATAAGAAGATGAGCAGACATTCCAATTGTATCAAGATATTTTAAATACTAACAGATGGCATGCTCAGCCATTTCTGAGAGCTTTCTATTAACTGCTGGCCACTGTGCTCTCATTTGACAGCCTTTCACTCGTGCACGCAGGCACTACTCAGGAACACTAAATTCCTGCACAATAGCAGCTATATTTGGTTTCTTGCATTCTGATGCTTTCAAATATGCTTCCTCAACACTAGCTTCTATTTCATTATATTTTTCAGACATTTCTGTTTATTTTTTTTTGGTGGGGTAGAGGGGGGTTTGTAGGTAGGTGGATAGTACAATCTGTCGTTGAGCTGAATCTGTCGTTGAGCAGTCGGTCACTCTCTGGAAGAGAGTGCCCAAGTTGCGAAAGCAACGGTGGGTTGTGGTGGAGCCTCAACCTTGGCACGGTTAGTAATATCCAGATTGGGACTTCCTATGGTGGTAATCACTGCAAGTACCATCAGTATGGAAGTCAATTGCGAAGGAGGGAAAACCGCCTCTAACGCGCATGGGGGCACGGCACCCGGGGTAAAAGTCAAGTTGAATGCTACTACCGGTGGTACTCGAGTACGATACTGTTGAGGAGAGAATTCTTCGGAATACAGCCGGTTTTGCCATCATGAACTCTCTTTGGTGAAAATAAACACAGGTGATTGTTATATTATTTGGGATTTTTCACTCACGGAAGGCCCTTCCGTGTATTGGCCTACTCTCGCTTAAAAATGGTATGTTTTGGGAGTCAAGAATCTCAAGAGGGTTGCTAAAGAATTCAGGATTCCAGAGAAAAATTCAGAAAGTATCGGCAGACATCCGATTTAAATTTATTGAATTGTTCAAGGAATAGAGGGATGGGGAAAACTTTGGACGAGTACGGTAAGTTAGAACATTCTGTTGGTTGCAATTTAAATGATTTTGCCAAGGATGGTATTATGAAGCTATCATCCCCGCCCTGTTGAAAGATTCTCGCCAAAAAAGTACTAGTATTTCTATTTGTGCTGCCTTAATACCGAAATATTCGCTCGTCTTGGTATTTGATAGGTTCGATAGCAACTCTCAAGCCTCAGGCATTTTTTGAGTGCAGATTTCGGCAACGAAGCGAGAGGCTCTAACGTGGCAGGTGGCCCCCTGACAACGACCTCCACGGCCCACTCCGTTAGCTCCCTTTTCCAATTCTAGCCCCCCTCCATCACAAAAACCACAACTCCCCGTCCCCCATCACCAATTCCGCCTATCTTCTTAGCCGTCCAGCTGTTCGATTCCTCCCAATTGCCCTTGCCACGATGTTTTGCAACTGGGCGGCCGTTGCGGCAACATCGATCCGAGGCCGAGACAGATCTCCATCCAGTGGCCCTGAGATAAAGCCGCCCGTACCGTTTACTGGACCGAAAATATTCCCCCGCTACTCTCCCCCTCAAACCTCAGGTTCAAGTTTCACTGCTCCACCCCAGGAACGCTCCTTCTATACCTTCTTTGGAAGGATCAAGAAGGCTACCGAGGTCACACCCGAGCACCTTAACGCTCTCGGGGTTTTGGTGGAATACGATGTTCCGGTTGAGAAGCTTCTACCCAGCGGTGGAGCCAGCTTTATCCCGGTCGATGATGACAAGATATTTTCCGAGAGAAGGAGGGAATTGCTTATCCCAAACGATGACGCAGTGGAGGCTCTTGCAAGACGGAGGAAGGATGTCAAGCTAGGTCACATGTATAGGTTTTATCAAGGGGTCGACATGGTTAAAACATACTATCCCACTGAACCCCCTTCCGATCCCCTAACACCGATGTCATCAGGCGACGAGGCCGGCAAGAACGGTAAGAGGAAAGCGGAAGAAGTGGTGGAAGGCGGGGTAGAAAAGAAGGGCAAACCGGAGGGGCCATCTGCTACCGCTCCCACTCCTCTAAGCGATCTCCCGGAAATAAACGAGGAAGAGGATGGTCGGAAATTTTCCATGCCCGAGAAATTCCGGGAAGAGCTTGTGAAAAACTTTATTGAGCCCATCTGCTGGGGGTACGGAGTGCGGATCTAGTATTACACCCTCTTGATCGTAATATGAAATTCGAATAATCGGGATACGCTTACTAAGTACCTGGAGAAGTCAAAGCCCACCCCGAGCACCCCCGAGAGTCGCACTCCAGAGGTCCCGATTTCTCGTGCACATGACCAACTACATTTATCTTACCCCCGCCCTCCCTGCCGAGGCTCGCTCCGGCCTTGTGGAAGGCCCCGTCATGGGCGTGCAGGTTCGGCACGAATTCGAATTTTTGAAGAAACAGTCGGACGATAGCATGGATGTTGACGGCGAGGAAGAAGTCGGGGACGTAGTCGGCATTACCCGCGAGGTGGCTGCCGCCCTCAGTATTGCACAGGATAGGAGGAAAGGACCGAGAGAAGGCAGACCAGAGGGCAAGACAGAAAAGAAGATCCGGTTTAGAGCTGTCGGGAAGGATGATAAATGGAGGGATGATGTATACCCCCCGGTTGCCTCTCTTCGCCAGTGAGCTCAATTGATAATATAGATATTCCTCCTTACCTCCCTCCACCACCACATCTCCATAACCCACATCTCCGTAACCCAGCCGTATCTGCGCTTCCTTGAAACTGGCCAGATGCCCAACCTAAACCACGAGTACTTCCAAACGGAGGAGGGAAACGATTGGGATAAGCTCAAGGTTCAAAAAACAAGGTTCTGGGATTTGTTGGATCCGGAGGAGCGGACTGAAGCTGGAAGGAGCTTTTCAGGAGTTTTGGCATGGTTGTCGAGGAATGAGCCCAAGAGGTAGGTTTTTAATTGCTTGTCAGCTAGGTTAGTGAGCCCATACCCGCGCTTATTATTTCATGCATGTTTGGTTGGTGCGTTGATTTGGCTAGGAGACAGGAGGATGTATGCACTATACCGATTTTGGATGGGCTTGAAGATATGGGAATTTGGGCGATGATCTTTGTAGTATGATGTCTTGCTTGATTGATTTATGTCAAAATGGGGAAACGGAGAAAAATTAGTGGGGAGCATTTGAACGCGGCATATTTTATTAAGCTGGAACTGAAATCATTCGATCATAGGATTTCATGAGAAATCACTCGTTTTCTGATTTCTGAATTTCATCCGGACACATAATATTATCTGCCTTGGCTTGGGCCTTAGTGTGACCGGGTGACGTGATTAAAGAGTGGAAGCCCACCGCATGCTAATATTCTCTTCATACTACCGGTACCAGAGCGAGTGGGAAGTACGATCGTACCTTTGGGATCGGCAAGGCAAACCAAAAAGAAGGTATGATATTTGAATAAGTAATTTTCGGGTGTCCGACAAAAAAAATTTTTTTTGCGTGATTTTAGTTCAATTATTGAAGTATCGCACTTGCAGATGCTAAACTCGTGATGATCTTGGACTTAAAATATTTTTGATGTGGCGTCCGATAAGGAAAGTGTCATAGGTACAGTACGAGTACACTATAACATGTTCTTGTCTTAAGTCATTACTCGTATCGTACGGTAAATACTTGTACCAACACAGTACTCGTACGAGTGCCGTACCCGAGTACAACTTCTGATGCTGTAGCAATTTCTGTACTTCTGTGGCTCTAGGAGTGATAGCGGGGGGTGGAAAAGACCTTCCCGGAGGGTGGCTCATGCGTTCATGTGGTGGAGTTAGGGCCTAGCCTTCTGGACGCGGATCGCCGCCTTGGGTTACAGGCTCTGGCTTGCTCGCCCGAGCACAGATGTTAAACCTACAGTACTGTACTGTACAAAGCGGTGGACTATTGGGGTTCTATCTCTTTACTGTGCTGCGCTAATCGTGCGGGGGGGTTACACTCTTCTACTGCGAGTAGACTATTGCTTGTTGCTTCCAGCACTATTTTGGAATAGTGGGGTAGGTTAAGTTAACTGAGCTTAGTACTCTTGAGGCGTGGGGAGGGCTGGGGAGGGGTGTGATATGATAGTAGGTGGGGATGGAATAGAACTTGGTATGTACGTGAGAATAAGTGGGCGGTGTGCGAGTAGGGGCAATAAGGCTAGCAGAATCCTGGATGTATGAAGAGACTAAAAAATAGTGAAGGTAGCAAAGGTGTTTGACATATCTCCCCTTGTATTTGGTCCCCAAGTTGTCCCCTAACAGTGTGGGATATTGCCGGATTCAATACGCACAGAATGCCGGGAACAATGGACCCGGATACCGTACTGTGATATTGGTTAGTCACTCTATCACTATGCCCTGAGAGCCTACCTAACCAGCTCGGGGAGGGGGGTGGATGGATATCATGAAGAGGGTAGTTCAAGTCTCCCTAGAAACCTTGAGCCTACCGGTACTGCACGGAATGGCATCTCTGCGGGGTCATGGGGTGGATTTAGTTTTGAGGAGTGGAGGTCTGGCCCGGCAGTTCCCCACTTTATCCTTAGTAATGCCAGATTTTTTCTTTTTACTTTCCACATTGTCGAATAGGTGCTTTATTTTTCTTACGGAGAGCTCTGGCAACTGGTAGACATGTGTCGGAGTATCATCATTTCGTTTCTATCATGGATGAGCGCTTGTGTTAGGAATTGGTAAGCAGCATGTCATACAATTTTACAGTCAGTGGCGTCGCACTAATTCTCCTAGCTTTATGGTATACAGTATTGGGGTAAATGCATTATTATTTTAGTATGTAACGCCTTCAAATTTTATTAACATTGAGTCGTTGGAGTGAAGCAAGAAATAAGAGAACAATAGTCGACAGTTTGAGCAAAGGCTTCCCACCTGGAGTATTTTTACTTGGGAATGCACGCTGGGTCATAGACCTCAACCATGAGGGAGGAGACAAGGGGGCCGGGGGTCTGTGAATCTGGTTGGAATCGTTTTTGATAGATATCGTAGTCATTTCCTTGTTCGAGGGGAATACTGTAAAATCCGTTGCTTCCACTATGCAATCCCCTACCTCATTCAGCGGATGAGATATCCTATGATTGTGGTTTGACCTCTGGCGGTATGGCGGGTAACAGTAAACCCCAAATCTCTTTTCGCCCTTCCTGACTGCTTGTTGCGAGGTACGATACTACTGCAAACTCGTCACTTCTAAGCCATAGCGGTGAAATCACCGTGTACCGCTCCCCGCCACCCACTGTCCTCGGGGTATGATACCTGACGCAAGACTCGGTTCTGTACTAACTCAGGGCGTAGGTAATACCACGGTCTCGACTCATTCACAGAGATGATCGAGGAGCAAACGGAGCAAGCGCTGTCGGGCAGCGCTGGCCAGTATGTAGCGTTTTTTTGCTTGTTACGCAAAAACAGCTTGCCGATATCGACCGGATTCGCGACACCCAACACAAAGGACCCTGGTTCATGTAACTCAACCGTGAAAAAACATTGGTGGTTGAAATCATGCTCGACTCGACCCACGATATCGCCAATATGACGTTTGCCAAAATGATCTTGAGGAAGTCAATTCGGATGGGCTTTGATGATGAGTTGACCGGCATGGGCAGCACGACCTTAGCTGCTGCGAGTGGATGAAAGGTGGAGGATTTCGCCTTCAAGCCGCGGCAGTTTCGCCCTTACAAACACTCTTGGTCAACTCTCGTCATCTAGTGTGGAGCTTCCCAATCACTCCAGCTCCTTGTGTAATTCTCGTTGGCGGTTGGCGAACTCTGGCGGAGAGGTGAGAATCGTCATACCCATTTCTGCGTCCACGGCGAACCTGCACGTATGATACTCGGGTAATTGGATCGTGTGCTATGATTGGGCTTTCTTACCCTGGGGTCAAGATTTCTTTTCTTTTCTTCTGTCTCGGGAGGTGGCAGGTGGGGTGTGGCTGTGGCGTTTTTTGCCTCCTTTCCATAGAAGGGAATTTTGGACTACATGCAACCCAGAGGATCCGATTATTAGAGGGATTTCGGAATGCGGTCGGGGGTCGCTATCCCTGACAACGGTGTTTACTGTTGCGACGGGCGAACTTGAAAAATGGGGTTATCAAGTGATGTTTGTGTTTGCTTGATATTGTTCACCTCACCAAGAGAATCCGCCATCTCCTAAGCTTAACTAACTGAACTCTAAGCGCACTGTACTCATACATTCCGTCGCCGATTTCTTACTCCGAAGTCCCTCTGCGAGTGCTCGGGTTGCTACTCCGGCCACCCGAAAGCCAAAACAAGAGCTCCATTTCTAAGGAAGAAAACCCCGCAAAACCCTCATCTTTGCCGCCGGGGGAAATATATCAAAAACGAGGCCTCGCTGGAGTCTATTTTTGGTAATTTTCCTATGATTTGTATGATTTTTTGGGTGTATTATGAATGTATTGAGAGTTTCAGGTAGTGACTATTTCTGTTGCGGCCCTACTGCCTCATGTGTGTGCGCAGGGGGGCTATAGTGTAGAGACTTCACTCCGGTCATGGCCTATCATGGTATAAACCATCGCTTAATATTTTACCGTGGAGGCCTGAAAATAGCGTCTTGGATGGCTTTTCAGGGAGTTTTGAGATGCCTTCCTCAAGCCTCTTAGGAAGATGCCACTTTTTCGAAAGGGCTGTAAGCACCTCATACCTGTTGCATAGATGCCGCCCACGACCCACCCGCTGGCTATCAGATCGTGTATCACTAGGGCTTAAGAGCAGTTTATCTACTCACGTACTCGCAATACCAACTATAGGCCCAAGAGAGAGAAAAAGAAGGAAGAAGGGGCGGTTTCATGGATTCGTAAATATTTTATTGCGAGTGAAGTCCTTGCAACCTGGTCTGTTTGTCAATTTAGGAGTGGGTATTGGAAAACTATCTCTCGGCCTGCTGCGCTCAGGTGTGCAAAATAGAATTCTGGTGTGGGGTTTTGGGCCACTCTCCGCCGAGCTAGCAATTGCCTCCAGTATGGTAATGGGTATCATGAATCAATTCTTCACTTGATATCATACTGACTTATGGAATACAAAACCTTGGTGTGGGGATGAAAGCACACTCCTGGGTGCCGGGTGCCGGTGGCCAAGGTGAGAGCGGGGGTAATGTACAGTACATTACCCGTTCAATTGATATGTCATATTCGCCTATCCAGGTAAGGTGCTTTAGCGAGGAAACAATTGAAATGCCACAGATGATAGGTGTCAACTGCAGAATGCCTGGAACGAAGAAGCGAGTTTAGGCGTAAGAAGAGAGATATATCTCGCTCATGAATTAGTGTGAGGGAACTATTCTAATTGGTCTGAATTTGGTCAACTACAGGACAATGGACTCCATGGTTAGAGGAGGCGGCCAGTTACGGGCGCCCCTGGCCTGGCCTGGCGGACTGGTCCGGGCGAATTGAAGGACAAGAATGCTGGCTTGTCGGGGGTCGTGGATGCTGCTCGACATCCCCAGAACCTGTTTGACATTCACGGAACCTTCTCGATATGCTCTGAACATTCTTAGCATGCCCAACACGCTCGGGACCCGCTCGGGTTATTTGTTTCTCATGTTCGCATAGAGGTTTGGGAGGCGCGCTTTGGATTAGCGCATCTGTTGAAGGAAAGCATGTATCCGCTGGTAGCAGTACGGAAGCGTCAAAGGGACGGAACGGTGACTGTCCGGAGGCGGCGGACAGTGGGAGTCTTTATAAAATCTTTATTTGTTAGCATGGGAGTGCGTGCAAGGGAGGGAGATTTGTGTGGATGTGAACGGGTAGGTGTGGTGATCGGTTGGAGGGTTGAATGAGAACGAGCGAACTTCCCTACCCCCAAATTCGTGTGTTTGTGATTGGGGTTCCTGTTGAGATCCTAATCGTCGTTTCGTATCATTATCGTTTCGTTGTTTAACCGGTTCACTACAATGCCGTTTTACTGCTTTGTCCTGGCCATTTGGGTGGCTAAGGCCCGTTGGACGGCAGGTACCCATAGACCAACCTACTCGAGTAGGGGTGTGAATCCAGAATTAGCAGAGGGGTATCGTAAAACCGCCCTAGAAGAAAAGTAAAAGTATCTACCGGTATTGATAGTGATTTATTCCACCCAGAAACTTGTATGTTACTACGGAGTATTCAGGGTAAGTGTGTGTCTAGCTTCCACCGGTTGGCGGAGGGCCTTTTCGACAGCTCACAGAACGGCGTTTGCTCTAGCCACTGTGACAATAGTTCGACAGACTTGTTTCCTCCATCAAACTGTTGGTATATGTT